GTCCAGTGGGATGTATTTTTCTTGTTTTCAACCAAGTTCCCCCTATCAGAGAAACTAACTAATGAAAGCCCAGCTAGCGGGTGGCTGATCCACAGACACAAACAGCTCAAGTTTTGTCAGATCCTGAGTAGCTTGTCCTTTTTCAGAGGCATGCAAAGCCAAATTTTTGTCCTGACTTGTACCTGCTTACTCTTTCTGGCTGCAGTAATGCTACCTGGATGGAAACCATGTGCCAGTTGCTCCCAGGAGGTCTGTTGCAATGGGGCTCCAGAAGTGCATGTGAGGTCCTCAGATGCAGAACACAGACCTCAGCCTTGACCCTGTTTGCTGTGTGTTTACTTGTATGGAAAGGAGCTCAAGGACCTTACACAGAGCTCCCTCCTATCCATCCAGACATAGATATGAGAACTGTATTCAAAGACAGATGAGCACATATGAGACCCTATGAGCTTCCTGGCTGCAGAAATGCAACCAAGCTGCTTTCAGTTCTTCCTAGGATCACAGCTTGGTTCAGTGTTGCTCATGCTCAGGCCTTGCAGCCAGGTCTCCATTGCTGAAGAAACACAGTACTTTCACAAGGGACAGTCAATTTAAAGTTACCTGGAAGGTCTGTTTTAGGCTGTAATTCTCAGTTTTTCTCATACCTTTTCATTTATCCCCAGGATTCATTCTTCTCACACACTGGCCAAAGCAAGGACCCAGCTGAGTCTGACTCTGTTCCTAATCATGGCACTGAAGTCCTGGGAAAGAGAAGAGGAGCAACCAACCCAGCTCTTTTACTAGAGAATGGAGTGTCTAGGGCTACTACTTCTTCAGGGCCACCACACCAAGAGGAGCTCATTCAGTCTTGTTTCACACGTCTTTGTTCACCCCCAATCTAGTTCATCCTTTCCCTCTCTATCCGCAGGGTCTTGGCACCTTCTGTCCTCCAAGCCATCATTGTAGCCCAACCCCTAGCAGAAGACAGTAAAGAGAAGCTGCTTCTCAAGTCTTCCAATGGGTTGGCAAAAGGGACTTCTAAGTGCCCTCTTCCTTACCATCCCCTGTGAGACACTTGGACTCCCCTCAGGGTCACCCTCTTTTACTCACCGATCTTGCAATTCAAATCCACATTGCTGGCAGATGTTTCAATTAGTCACACAAGACAGGAGACAAGACTACCTAGTGACGGTGGCTTCCAGCAGAGATTTCACATGCCATCCATGTAATGGGAAGATGGTACAGTTTTACCCGGGATTTCTTACAGTAGTGGTACAACACTGTCCATCCCTTTTGGCACTACCCCTAGCTCCCATTGCCTCAGTCGTACATCTGTTGGGAAGTCCAGTCTTTCTAGACCCCAACCAGTTTTTGCTGGAGGACTGTGATTCCTGCCTGTTCGACAGGTCTTGCAGTGAGTTTCATGCCTGCAGCCTGACAATAACATTTCTCATATGACCCCTTTCCTCAAATGATCTGATAGAAGAGCAAAAAACCTAACCATGCAGCGGATGATGAACGGCACACGGAGGAGCGCCTGCCTGACTCCCAGAAGCGATTTATCAGGCTCTCTTAATGCAAGCTAACAGGGCTAGCACATGCAATTGGCATAAGAGCTTCTGAGCCTGACACTAAAAGGGGATACATCACATGGTGCAGCAGGGGAGCTAGGACTCCCTCGTTAGCTCATCCTATGGATTACCCCTTTAAAGAGAGAGAGAGAGAGGCTGGTGGAGGTAGGGGAGGCTTTCTCATTTTAACAAATAGCTTTTCAGCCACCGCAAATTATTTCTGTAAATCTATCGAGTCACTCTTTTTTTTTTCCCAGAGATGAAACAAAAAAAAAAAAAAAAAAAGGAAAAAAAAGCCCTGAAATTGATTTACCATCTATAAATAAAAAAAAGAATCAATAGTAAAATTTCTAACTAATTTCCCTCTCCCTCTTTTCTCCTTGGACTATTTGTTATCTCAGAAATACTTGTCTGAGAAGAAAAAAGAGAAACATCATTGGTTCCAGATCCAGATGTGCTCCTCCACTTTGCCCCACAGACCAGCCTCCTCTCCTCTCCTCTCATCGCATGGAGAGAGATGGGTCCTTCAGATGCGCCTGGCTCCTCTTCTCTGGCTTGCCACCAGCATGGCTGTTCCCTTGGCCCCGCTGGGCAGTGCATTTAACAAGCGGCAGTTTTTCTTTCCTGCAAAAGGAAGAGAGAGAGGACACAGGTACGGTAAAACTCTGCAGTGTTTCGGCAGCAGGTAAGCCACATGCGGCATGCACTCTGAGAAGCCGTGTGTAAAGTCTCAGAGTGAAGTGCATCTGCAAGCAAGGCTTTGGCAGCTTGAGACAAATTAGAGGTGGTTAAAGACCAGCTGGTCCCATCCTCCTCTGGCCAGAGCAGGGTTAGTCCTTCCAGAAGACTTCAAGGGCTTTGTGCTAGCTCTGAGCTCTCCAAGAGCAGGGCCCCACTGCTTCCCTTTGGGCTAATGCACTTACTGCTGTTTTCTCCTCCCCGCAGCCTCCACACACCTGAAATGTTTCACTTCATTTCTGCTCATTAACAGCCCTGGTATCACTGCAAATATTTCCTTCTGGGGCATATACCATTCACAGGACAGCTGTGTTCAGGGCTCTGCTCACCAGCAGATTGCCCCCACTGCCAGGGATGTTCACAGCTGGCCCCAAACTCTTTAGTGACAGACTCCCGCTGCACGGTGGGGGAGCAGCCATTGCCCGAGACATGACACCAGTGCTTCCAGCATCCAGACCAGTGCCTTCAAAGAGCCTGATGTGATAGCACTGTTTCTCCATGCCCGTTAACTCCTATTATCTTATGGTCATGCAAAGCTTTAGTTGTCACCGTTGTTTGGAGTGTTGCATTTCCAGCACACCTTTTGGGCTACAGTCCTAGCAGAGCAGTGGGAGTGTAACTACTGACCTCCAAAGGAGCAGAGTTAGGCTCAATACAGGGTACTTTTGCAGTGATGCCCCAGGAGTTCACAGTATAAGAACTGAGCTCATCACAACTCAGCACTGCAGAAACAGCTCCTCGGCTTCCCGCAGCTTGTCCAGGGGAGCAGACCCGCTTTGTAAGGCTTTGGTTCCCAGTAAGTCTCACTAATTGTTTCCCAGACAAAGTGCTGCTGGGTGTGTGTTTACGGGGTGGAAGATGAATGTTTGCTGCTTTAAGGAAAAGTAAATCTCTATCCTTTATTATCAGATAATTCTGTAACATTTCTGTTCTATTTACTTATATAGCTTCTTTGCTTTAGAGGCCTTAATTAAAATCCTACATCTCACAGCCCAGTGCTCTTGCCACCTCTCCTCTCTCTGGGTCTTGACGCTTGTGGTTCGCAGCAGGACGGGCACAAGCGACCAGAGAGCCCAGCCCTGGTCTGCCCAGCTGCTGGGCACAGCCAGGCCTGGAAAAAAAGTGGCAAAACTCACACCCTTGTGCCCAGATGAGAGGCAGAATGACAAGGGGTGCGGGTCCTGCAGCACCATCCCTTGCTCAGGGAGGCTTGGCCAGCACCGGGCCATCCCAGAGCGGGGAGCTTCGCCTCACAGCCCCCTGCCAGCATGGGCAGGTCACGCTGGAACTACAAAGGTGCCTCTGAGCCAAACCCTGGGACCAGGAGCCAGAGGAACCAGCTCTACAGCCCTACAACCCTGCCTGCGGACCACCAGCGGGGAGCAGGGTCCCTCCGCACCCACCCCGAGCAGCACCAGCTCGGAGCAGCCAGCCATCATCCCCTGCGCGTACCAAGCTCCAGCCCTGTGGCGCTGCTTATCTTGGCAGAGTGTGAATTCCCTCCCCTCGCCAAGCTGGCTGTGCTGCAGCTGTAGGAGCAGATACACCTTTTGATAGCTTCTGCTTTGTAAAAGCAGTGAAACCTGACTATCTGTTCCCATCCTGAGGAAGGAAATCAAACCATGCTCTCAGCCTTGCTCACACCAGCCAAGGGGCTCCGATGAGTCTTTGGGGTGCCCACTCAGACTGCTTGTGCTCCCCCCCAGTACCCATCACGCCCTGACAATTTTGTTCATTCACCCCTCATTGCTATGGCAGGACACAAATGGAGAGGGTCCTCTGCTTACATCTGATCTACTCCAAGCACTCAGTCTGCTCCCTCTAATATCATTTATCTGTATTCTCTACAGCAGCTGGAGACCCAAGCCAAGCTGGTGTTGGTGCTGCACCAGTTCACACTGAGACACAAACCTAGGAAGGGGAGGACATAGATGAGGTGCTTAGGGACATGGTTTAGTGATGGGGTGGCAGGGTTAGGTTAACGGTTGGACTTGATGATCTTAAAGGTCTTTTCCAACCTAGACGATTCTATGATTCTATCCGTTCACATAGCCATGTCACCAAAAGTGAAGTGACCTACTGAAGGCCATGCGGCAGAGCTGGGGAGAACTGAAAGGAAAAGAGCTGAGATGGGACCCCAGGTTTCTTGATCCCTCCACCCTGACTCACCCCTGAGGAACTGGGCTCCTCTAAACCTGCCTGCCATAGCGATGCAGGGAAGCCTGCCTTCCTCACCACACAGGGGTCTCTGTGTCAGTGCTTCTGCTTTTATTTGAAGAAGGAGTTTTTAAAATACATTTTAAAATAATTTAAATAATGTAGGGGCCAATAGGACGCAGGGCTTAGAGGGCTTTACCTCCACCAGCCCTCCCCTCCTCCCTGCCGTCACAGCTGCCACCAGTTCAGCATCTACTGCCTCTCCACAGTTCAATCACCAACCTAAGGCACAGTGGTATTTTGAAGAGATAAACACTGAGACAAAAATAAGTAAATTATGACCCTAGGAGGGAGACCCGAAAGGCACACTGAAGTGAGAACAAGCGGTTTCTCTGGTTCTGTGTATAATTACATTGACATGTTCCTAGACAGTGCTGGAGACCCAAACACAGCAGCAGCTGTGGACCAAAAGGAGAATCAGGGAAAGCATAGGGAAGCCAGCCAAGTCAACCCATCCCCTGCCCCGGGGCTGCGTCAGCACTGCCCGTGTTTAACCCCGCCAGCCTCTGCCTGCCTGCTCCCAGGGGCAGGGGCAGCGCTGGGACAGGCAGGGCTCGGCTCCCGGCCACGCTGAGGCTGGCTCTCCCCTACAGACACCCACGTCTCTGCGCCCACTCCTCCCATCCCGCCAGAGCTGTGCTGCGGAACACTGTTCCTGTTCTCGCCTCTGCAAGCGAGGGAAACAACACAATGTGAAACATGCAAAGCCGATAAAAATGGGTCTTAAAACTCCTTCCTTTGTCATGTTTTGGGTAACACAGAAAAAGGAAATCCTGTCTAACCAACAGCACTTACAGGTGGGATTTTTAGATGCTGGCCTTTTTTTAGCAGCCATCCAGGCATCCACTGAACTGAAGCATTGTTGAGTATCAATGACTCTGTTCACATCAAGTACTTGTGACCAAGTGATTTTTTTGGACATACAGTCAATTGACAGACAGTCACGATCAAATCACAACTCTGCTGCGTGCTCATCGCACATACAACAGTTAATCTTGCAGCCATGCAAACTGTTTTGCAAATTGAAATCTCAGAGGCATAGCAATTACAATACCAAATTTATACCACATCTCTCAGTCAACTAATTGTACATCCAAAAAATCACCACTTGAATAATCTGAATACATTCACCTTTACAGCTAAAAAAACCCCACTACATGCTTGATCTCAACATAATTTTGAGTTACAGAACCCCATGGGAAAAAAATGCCAACCTCTGATTTCAACAGCAAAATTGCTTCTATCTAAATACAGCAGATGCATAATTCACGTTGAAGTCTAACATCTTGGTGTTTCCAGAGATGCTCTTTTTTACATTCCTCAAAGTGGGGGATTCCTGTTGCTCCCTGTATCTCTCAGCCCACCTGCAGGAAGACAAGCCCTATATACATCTACTCCAAATGTAGTGTACATGTTCACATCAAACCAACTGTATCTGGATTTCTAATTGTTAAGAAACCTTAAAGGTCTTAAAATGAATCGGCAGACCTACAAACCGGGCTAATGTTTTAGATGAGCTGAGCTTTACAAAGCCACCGCCATAGGCACGCTTGCACCCCTGTGGCATTTTGAGCTTTCACGCACACGTTTCTTGACTTCTGTTTCCACCCAGTGAAGCAAGTTGAGGTGGGGAGCAATAGATTTGAATTAGTGACTTTGCAGCTGGTGTATTAAAGGGTGCCAAAATAGAAGGGAATTTGTGTTTAAATTGCAAAGGGAGGTGAAAACGAAGTTATCCAAGCCACGTGAGTGGGATTGAAAATGAATCATAAAGGCTGGAAAATGGCTAACCTCTGATCCCTGAAACCAAGAAATCTGGCTGCTGTCGTGTAGCTACTGATCTAATTTTGCCACTTTCCCCTCCATACGGAGGAGAGCTGTTTCCACTACGTCCATCGCAGCTAAACAATCAATGCCTGATTACTTCAAATGCTTCACTCTCAGGGATGCACAATTAACCGGGCTCATATTTGACACTGCAAGGGGAGTGCAGTATTTTCTGGGAATGTTTGACAAGTTTCAAACATAAAAAACACAAATCAAATGGTCCAGCAGATAATGACAGCCAGTGCCCCGACAGTTAGATAATGTGCGTGCTCCAAAGCAAGGCCAATTAGAAGCAATAAAAACAAATTTGAAATGTTAGAGCAAAGGTCAGAAATCCTCAGCCATTACCACAGGCTTGATTTTTTTTTTCAAGCGGTCACCGGTGCCTATTTCCAGAAAGCAAGCACAAATCCACACTTGCCAGATGACCACCCACGTATTACAGCAGATTATTATTTCTGTGCCATACAAACCCTGCTAACGTGGTGCGTGGAGAACCCCAGCACCAGCATTTGGAAATCTCATCAGGTCCATACCCTGCGGCCCCACATTTCTGAACGGAGGGGCTGGCCAATGCTGCTTAATAGAGAAGGCATCACGTTAGAGCGTGCTCCCCAGGAGAGCTTGCAGATGTCTCCCCCTCTGCCACAGAAGGGATCCTGCTGCTTGTTGTCCACCCCTGGGTTCCTGCGCTCCTTCCCCAGCTCATGGCAGCAAGGCAGACCTGCTTCACCGAGGAGACAGTGCATGGAAGCAGGGATAATTAGCTCCTAACTGGAGCCACACTATCACATGAGAGAAGGAGAAGTAGCCACAACTACAAGCAATGCCCGTGGCTCAGACCCAGCCATCGCTGTGTATTTTTACCAACCCTGGAGCAGGAAGCTGCAGAGAGGATGGGAATAGGTTTTGTCTTGTCTCCTGTCCTCCTATTTCCTAAGGAGCAGCAGGAGAATAACGGGTTGCGCTTACCTGATGAGATGTAGCAGAAAATTACAGCCTCTTGAGTTTGTTCAAGTTAGTGATATGATACTGGGATTAACATGCTACGTACATCAGACGTTACCCGTGTCGACTCACCCTACGCGTAGCAGCTGCCTCTGCTTTCAGAGCAGAGTGCTCTGTCCTGCTCTTTAGAAATACAGGGAAAGTCCAGACAGTGGTGAGGCATGAAATAACACAGATGCTGTAAATCTGCTTACCGAGCCCTGGCTTCCTCAGAGCAACAAGCCCAAAGACAGAAAAGGAAAGCAGGTGGGTATCTCCAGGCATATCTATATGAGGATGCCTGTGAGAGCTAATCCAAATACATTTAGGGTGTAAATGCAAAGCTGATTAGTGAAACCACGGTAAGCTCCTATGTGGGTATGCTCCTCCAGAGTTAAAGTAGCCATAATTCAATTTATTCACTTAGCTCATTTCCAAAAGTAAATTAAGGTAGAGTAAATTAAATTAAATCAGCTGACAGCACCTTCATTTTGAAAGGGATTGTTAACATGGACCCAATCTATTTCGTACAGTAATGCAGATTATTTTCTCCTGCTGGGCCACCTGTCAGGCACACCGGCTCCCTGGGCTAGTCCTGAAGTGTTTTTACACACCCTCTGTTCAGGCAGTGCCTGAAAGCAAGACCAGGCTGGAGGTATTTTTGGCTGTTTGCATGGGCTTTAGTGTGTGCGTGCTTAAAGCCAGGGTAAAATCCTTCCAGCCAGCACTCTGGTTCCCAAGTGCTTGACAAGGTAATTGTTGTAATGTAGTATTTTGGTGAGCCCTCTGCTGGGAGCCGGCCAAGCACTGCAAATCTCCCCAAACTCTGCAAATGGATCCTTTTCATTGAACCCACGCAAATGTGTCACCATTTAAAACCTGAAAGGTTTTCTTTAACAACAGCTACATGTATCAAGAGTTGCATAAAACGTGCAGACATGTGTGGGAGTGAGCTGACAGATTATAATTACCAATAGAGAAGGGAGAAAAAACAAAAATTAATTTTTGAGGCAAGACATATAATTTGCCTTTAAACCATAGTAGTGCTCCCATTACTAATACAGTTTACAGCCCTGGAAATCAGATTGAAGTTGTTTGACTCCTCAGCAGTTTGTTTTTTTTTTTTAATTTCCCTTTTAAAGGAGCACCGGCTGACATGAGAGGATAAAGCAAGGGTCTTTTTTTAGACATTCATACGAGCTTTGCACTGTTTGAACGTGCAGGGAGCGTTTCTGTGCTAGCTGGTAGCATCGTGCACCAGTGCAGCCCTGGCTATCCCTGCCAGTAACATAAGGAATACTTCCCAATACAGTCTGGTCCCACTTGTCCCTAAAAAAGCAACACAGCTATAGGGCGCCCATGGACCAGGTCCTAGTGAAATCCCTGAGACAGGCTGCAATCCTCCCTCCAAGGGAGCCAGGACAGCGATGGAGAGTTTCGCAGCTGACTTTTTTTTTTTCCTGCCCTCATTTCATTTCCTCCTTTCTCTATAAATCGTAAGTGATTTTGCTGACTTTTCTCTGGAGCAGCACTGGAGGAAGGGGAGCAAACCATTTACTTTGCTGTGTCTGCACAGTTCAAGAGGCACTGACAGTAGTGTTTATGATACTGGCAGTGTTTTGGTGCCTTGGCACTTTCTGGGAGTCCCTTCTCTCCCTCAGGGGTGTAGTAGGGCAAGCTGCTGGTGTTACAAGTAGCCTGGGAAGGTGAAGAGCCTGAATGGATCCTTTGTGGGCAAGGGGAATGGCCAGAGCCACAGAGGTCTTCAGGATTGCTTTGGGGAACATCTCCTTGAAGACCCAAGTCAGTTTTATTTTGCAATAATTAAAAAAAAAAAAAAAAAAAGAGGAGATACTGAATTTGCTCTTCATAGCAGTGGTAGCTTCTCAGCATGGCTGAAATGTGCAGCTGAAACCTGAGCTGCCTCTTTGCCCACGTGTTGGAGAATGTGTAGTCTGTTTGGCCCACACAGACGTTTCATTCAAACCAGTTTGCTATCTGGGCTACCCTATACTGGGCTTACCTATACTAACACATGCCTATGCTCTGTCACCAGAGCCCAAGGAATGAATGGCTCAAAGATGGCCAGCAACATCTCCTTCCATGTGTGAGAAGTCCTGAGAAAAAAAGAAAAGATGCCCAATTTTCCTTTCTCCCACTTTCACAGCACTGCGATGCTACTGTGCCCTGGAAGCTGTGGGGTGTTTCAGATCTCTGCTGCACTGACATCAAATCTGGTCTAGAACATTTTTTCTGTTTATTAGACTCTGCTCTCCTCTTAGCCACTGAAAATGGTGGGGGAAAAGATGACAAGACAGTGATTTAAGTTTGGGAGAAGTGAGCTGGGGATGGCAGCAAAGAGAGCCCCTAGAGAATGACAAGAAGCAGCCGTGTATGTAAAGCAGACACGTGGCTTCACTCCCCTCTCGCTTCACTCCCAGCTCTCATGTCAGTCATGGCCAGGTCAAAGAAAGCACTACCAGGTGTAGGTGAAACCTCAAAAATCCTGAAGGCAGAGCTTAAAAGTGTAGAGAGAAGTTTTTCTGAAACACAGTTAGAAGTGGACTGGGAAGAGCATTCCAGACCCAGTGGGACAGAAGGACCCCCACACAGCAAGTGCCAGAAAGCAGCAAACCCCTAGGGTGGTGTCAGTCTGAGCCTGTAAGACCACACAACCTCTGGACACAGCTCTTTAGCATCAAGATGGGGCTCAAAACTTGAAAGGCTGAGTTGTCCTGGCAGAAGTGCCTCTGATCGGACCTGTGCCCAGGAAGGCATTCCCCAGCTCTACCCAGCGTGGTACAGGTGACAGTGCCCATCGCTTCGGAGGATGACGGGACAGTCCCATGGGCCAATCCAGCCTGTTGGATATGCAGCTGTGAACTCATACATCATCATTAAGGCTGCAAAGTCAAGCAGCAAAAGGAGGAATTGCCAGAATAAAGGTTGTCAGAGCAATTTTAATTCAACCTCCTGGCAGATATGCCTTCTGATGTGGTCTTTAATTACCTCATCACAGCCTACTTTTTCTTCAACAAGACTGCTTCAGACCATGGTGAACAGACGGCAATTAAGGAAGGGGCCAATGAATATTTTGGTCTGTTGTTTTGTTTTTTTTTTCCAGTGTGTGCCCCCAGGCATTATTTGCTGCATGCCATCAAATCCCTGTTCTTAGGCAGAAATGTTCACCTTCTCCTGGACTTCTCTCTTGTGGATCAGTGCAGCAACTGTGAGCTTCCCACACAGGAAGGAATTTCTCTTCCAACACTCCTGTGAGCAGAGAGCCTGCATTTTACCTACAGGAAAATGTGGTGCAGATATGAGTTGCAGAGTGCTCCACTCGTGAGGCCCAGGTGGGATTTTTCAGAGTACCCACGTTATGCCCAGCTCCCCTAACCTCAGCCAGAGCTTCCATAATTTGAACCCCAGTGTGTCCAGAAAATGCAAAACATGGAACATGGCTCTCAGAGAAAAAATGACAGTGGTTTAAAGAGGCAACAGCCCCTCCGCTGACACTGTGCCTGAGCGGGGCTCTGCTGTGCAATGAGCCAGAGTGAAAGAACAGAGCAACGCTGATATGGGCAAAGGGGTGGACTTAAAGCAGTGCAAGGCATTTGAAGATTTTTCAGCAAAAATTCTGTTTTCCTACCTTAACCATTCTCTGCAACAGCTGTACTCTGCTTTCTCTTAACCTCTTACAAATTCTTCACCTTTTACCAAAGATTTCAATGGAGGACATTTCTCACTTTCAACCCCAGTGATCTTAACCTTTACTCTGCCACAAGTGGGAAGAGGTGAGCGCGGGACAGAGACTCGCTAAGAGGAAGAGCTCCCGGTGCCACTGGTGGCATCAAAGGGAGCCCCACTCAAATGCTTTCCAGTGAGTGCAATGGGAGCAGAATTTGCTGGCCACTGAGCAGCTTAAAAAAGGACAGTAACAAGAGGAGAGGAAGGGCATGAACCTTCATCACCACCTGACAGCCCCTTTCTGCACTGTGCTCTCCTGCTCTATGCCCACTTAACCCAACCTTAGAGAGACATCTTTGTGTCCAGGATGGACTTCCCTGAGCCTCTCTGAAGCACGTCTAAGTGGCAGCGCTCTCTTCTCCAGCAGCTTCTGTAGGCAGCACAGAGGTCTCTCTTACTCTGTTAGAAATTCATAGGCCTACCAGCTTGTCATTCTGGAAGATGTCTCGCATTTTCAGCAAGGCTTTTAATTCATTAGCTCACATAGGAAAATATTCTAACCTTCCTGCCCTCCCCGGCTGAGTCATTGATGCTTTCCTAGCTTGCCGCAGACACATCACCTTCAGGAAAATAATTGCTTAGCATGCTGATAACAACAGACATTATCTTTCTGAACTGGGCGTTTGTTGGGATCACAGGGTCTTCCCGTGATGAGGACCGCAGGACACATTGGGGTTACGTTTTGAAACAAGTCCTGACCTTGCCTTGCAGGCTGTGGAAAACCCTGCACAGCCACTGGGCTGAGCTCTCAGGGGAGCTGGGGGGAGGTTGGAGGGAGCTCAGCCAGAGGGAAGGGGCTGAAGGGTCCTGGGAGGGACTGGGTGAGCTGTGGTGGGAGGGAGGGGGCATGGGAGAATAACCGTGCTGGACAGGGAAGAGAGAAAGAAAGAACTGTCTAAGAAGTAAAGACGGTTCTAAAAAAAAACCTTTAAGCATTTAATTTTCAAGTCTGGCCTCTCTAGAGAATCAGTGCACAGTCTAGAGTTCTTTTCAAGGATCTGAGCTACTTAGGGACTTGAGATTTGCCCAGAGGTTCCTTTGGTTATAGAGGGAGCAGAAGTTTCTAAGCTTGATGTCTATGGCCTGCAACTGTGAACACCTCCTCTCACTGGTGAGGACATGTTGGGAGGGAGCCGGAATGCCCAA